ATGATGATTTCCATACCTGTGTTAAAAAAAAAAAAAAAAAAAAAGAAAAAAAGATGTAGCTTTATTAATAGTATTTCCAACTATATTGTCACTGTATACGCTTTTGTATAGTCCAGTGAAATCTGTTTGTTTTTCTCAAGAGGTCTAGGGTCAAATTATGAATCAGTGACTCTGTAGAGTGAATGACTGAATGAATTAATCCTTATAATTAACATGTGATCTTCAATGGTGTCCTAGATTTATTTTGTAATGAAATCCTGAGCAGACTTTTTAGTTTAAACTTCTTTCACTTTGATTAAGAGTTTCCTACATTACACACAATGCTGTAAGACTACCTTCTGCTAGTTGTGCAATGGGATTGAGCCCTCGCTTCATCTCCACCTATAGAGAGTGATGCGGCAGTGCTTTAGTCCGTCCACATCTCGTACTACCTCATCTGTACACTCTGCTCAGACAGATCAGCTTCCAAAGCTTCAAATTTCATGCTAATACCACCGTCAGCACCATCATGCTTGTCATCTCGCACATCATTAACTAGCTGAGCCGAGTCTCTGATGTAACTCAGTGCAATGGATCTTTGAGTTTAGTGTTTGCTGATTGAATATTGCTGGAAAATGGTGAGTGAGGAAAGATGCTCTTGCTTTGGTTTTCAGGAGCTACGAGTAAAACCTGACCATTATCCCTTATGGATGAGATTGTTGATTTTTTTTTTCTCCTATTAAATTCCTCTGTAACTGCGCTAGCAGTTTTTTCCCTGTGACGTCAGTGCGGCACACAACCGTTAACTTCTCATAGAAATAACGGAAATACAGCATCAACCAGCAAATTAGCACCAGAATCAGTAAACACATCACGATTACTTCAAAACAAAGGAAAAGGAGTTTCCTTTAAATGTAGACTAATCGCTGATACTTATTCCCCTCGGTCTGTGTTCAGATTTCTTTTATGGCAGATGGTGTGCACAGAGGGGTGCCCAGAGATTGCCTGTAAAATCTGATATCTAGGAATTCAACACTCACATTATACCAACTCAGTTTCTTTTTGTAAAATGAATAGATGACTAATTTTCTGCCACTCTGTGTGCAACCTTCATCAGAAAGCTGGAATCATCCTACAGAGGCAAGGTTGCTAAAGACACTAATATTTAATCACTGTAAAAGAAAAGAAAAAAATTCTCACAGTGGGCTTATAGCAGTATCTTCTATCCAAAGATGTCTTTCCATGATATGAATGATACATCATAGATAAACGTTCCCTCTCATTTTAAAGACAGACTGTAAAAATATGAACAATAAAAATGATTGCTCCTCAGCTGAAAGATTATGAGTAGGAATCATCTGACCTTCTGACCTTAGAAAGCCTGTGCTATGGCTCGGATTTGACCTACTTGTTAATGATGTATTTGATGTTGTCATGCACGCTGAGGTCTGTCCGCTCTCGGTAAGGCTGGATGTGAAACGCCACCTAGAAACAGAACACAGAACACAGGCTGATGAGAAATCCTTGCATTGGTGAACATCATGCAACACAAAATGGCTCCAAGTAGCAGATTCAGGTCAGGTTTCTGCAGCTCTAAAAATGAGCCCCAAACACTGCTAGCTATATTCCTGGATTGAGGTCGAGCCAATTGCCCTTGCTAAAATGAATGTTAAGCAATGGTATATCTGGAAGTAAGACCCCAAAGAATAGCACAAAAAGTGCTGTGTGAAAGTAGTGCCACAGAGAAACTTGCAAACAAGCACAGATTTTGATCAATAGAAATCTTTTTTTTATATTTGTGTATTCGTAAATTTTAATACATTTCATGTTCATGGAATAGAAACCATTGAGATTTAGGCAACCGAATCAAGTTTCTGAAGGCGCTTTAACTGCAACAAGAATATAGTCAATCTCTGCATGTCAGGAAAGCCAGCGATTGCAAGGAATGTGAAGAAGAAGAAGAAGAAAGAGGAAAGTCTTTATTGTCATATACAGTAGTTCCTTGTGCTTGCTCCGTGTAAGGTGTAGTATGCCAAATTCTAGTTACGTTGAGTAAGAACCATTCAGCATTTTTTAGGTTTCTACAGTATGTTCCTCTTGGCTGAAATAACTCAGTTGGGAGAATGTTAGACTGAAGGTCTAAGGGTCCCTGGTTTAATCCTGGGTTTTGGCAATGAATTCCAATTATACTAAAAAGACTGCCTTTAATCCCTGGCCTTTCTGATATCTGTGAATTGTCAAAACATCAATTATATGCTTGTGCTCAGTTTGTGGAAACTAACATTTTAAGGTGTGACGGTTAGCACTCTGGACTCTGAATTCAGCGATCTGAGTTCAAATCTCAGTAGAACCTGCGAACTGTTAAAGGAGCTTTACTTTTGTAGCAAGTATAAAAAATGTCTCAAAGTGTAGCTTGTGCTTTCTTCTGCAGAGACATAACTAGAACTTTTACGATGCGGTGGCCAGGTTAGACCCAAGGACTTTCTTGGGTTGGCAATCTAGGGTGTGGCAAAATACTATTCTACAGCCATATAAAATGACATATTGTGGATATCAGTGTATGGCTTGAGTAGGATCACCATTGGACATAAGGCACGCTTGTCTTCTAGTAGGCTAGAAAAACATCATAGCTACCGAAACATTATGCTACATACGGCCAAAAGTTTGTGGACACCTAACCATCACACTCATATGTGCTTGATCATATCCCATTCCAGATTTAGTCCCTCTGTACTGTTATAAGGCTTTCCACTAGATTTTAGAACATGGCTGTGGGGATTTGCCCATTCAGCCTTAAGAGCATTAGTGAGGTCAGACAGTCGGTGTTCCAGTTCATCCCAAAGGTGTTCAGTGGGGTTGAGGTCAAGGCTCTGTGCAGGACACTCGAGTTCTTCCACTCCAACCTTGGCTACAGCATCCAAAGACATTCTAGACAATTGTGTGCTTCCAAATTTGTGGCAACAGTTTGGGGAAGAACTACATATGGCTGTGATGGTCAGGTGTCCACATACTTTTGGCCATATAATGTATGCTAGCGGTACAAATTCAATATCATTAGCTAACAGTAGGTAATAACAACCTGAAGAAATCCAATGTTATGCCTCCAAATAATGAATATCATTGACACTAAAAAGTTTGCTAAAAATGTTTGCTCATCTGTTTGTTCGTTATGGTCAGTGAGGCCAGGGATTAGTTCGTTTCTGTGTTAGCGTGCTAAACATGCATGTTCATGCATGATACTGACAATCCTCACCATTGGACAAATTCAATCTAGCCTATCATAGTGAAAATTCATTCAGTTTCTCATCACATTGGTAAACCACCCTATCGTGAAGCATGGCCTCCCCTTAGTTATGCATTGCTTAGGATTGCAACCTCCAGTCATGATGAATAAAGACCAAGTCGTCATACGTATTTTGGGGTTTCTAAGGTATACCCTTCTTACATATTGGCTGAAATAGGATTCAACAATGAACACCCTGCTTGAAAATACTTTACTACATTCTTAGCCTCTGATTTTTATGATATCCAAAAGCATTTGATCAGTATATGCTTGTGCTCAGTGCTTTATGTCTGTAATCAGACCATCAGCGTTATATTAGCAAGGACACCTAGTGCACTCTTTTCTTATTTTTATGAACAGTACAGAGACTAACATGCTGGTGGATGCTAAATACAAACTCCTACTCTCTCTCTCAGCATCAGCAGCTGCCCACCCTGCACCATGATGGATCTGTAATAACTTTATCTTAACTGCTGTCTTAAACCTTTACACCAACAATTTATTGCTTGTCCAATAAAATGCTTGTCAGGAATTTATATTTGGCAGTCAATGAAATTATTGAAGACACCTTTTCCAATATCCCATCTTGCCAGAACATAAAAAGCAGAGGTATTAAAAGTACTGCGATTCTTTATTCAAGTGAAAGTACAATAACTCTATGAAATCAATCCTCTGGTAAAAGCTGCAAATTCTTCACTCAATTTAATGTAGAAAAGTGTAAATTTACTTTAAAGGAAGAGCCACAAAAAAACAGAAAAAGACATCTGCCTCAAATCACACACAGATTTTTGTTACTGATGATGAATAAACTAGTGCCTCTTTTTTTTTTTTTTTTTCAACCAAGGAATCAACAATGCTATAGCTAAGACTAACTAACAGCTTTACTGCTAATCTCTTAAATGTTAGCTAGCATGATAATAACAGATCATAACAACTAGTCGAATGCTAATCACTCTCTGTCACAATGCAAACTACATGGATGAATAAAGTGTGCGTAGCATCAGATAGTGAAAGGTAGTGAAAGTTTTGATTTGTTAGGAATTTAGAAGCTGTCTGATGCTTAAAAAAACTTATTACTTTATATGATTACAGAGAAATGTAATGTAGTGATTGAAAATGTAGTAAGTAGAAAGTAGAGATTTTTGTTTTGAAGTTCAGTAAGTAAAATTCACAAGTATTGGTGAAAGAAAAACTCAAGTACAGTACAAGTACTGAATTAATCATTGCTGCAAAACAGCATTGTTAGGTACAACAAATATATCACCGCCACTGTTGCCAACTCTTTTCAGAGCAAAGTAGCTAAAGCACGCTCAAAAAGTCTCTAGAAGTCACTAGATGATGTCGTAGACTAATTTGAATATTAATTAATTCACCATTATCATCACTGGCATAGCCAATTAAAAATTGGGGTACATAAAGCAGGAAGATGTTCACGTACAATATA